TATGACTCTCTGGGCGATGCCTTTCTTGTAAAATGGGAAGCCCCACGGATACATGCCTTCTCACCAGCCCCTCTGTTGAGCCATGTCCTTTGTCATCAGTCAGGCATACATCCTACACACAATCAAGACAGACAAATCCAAACTCAGTCTCATTGCATGAATGTGGCCGAAACACATGTGGTCTCCATATCTGAAACAGATGGCTTTGAGGCCACCACAGACCATTTCTTTGTCCCTCATCTGTGGACAAAGGACACCTCCAGTGACTACAAGATTTCAGTACTCCCTCTGAAGACCTGGCTAACCCATGGATGACAGGATTTGAAACAAGATTGTCCCAAGATAGTACAAGGCATACTTTCTGAACAGCTGGTAACTGACAACACAGAAGACACACACACACAAGTGGAAACGATTCTATACCTGGTGCCAGGACTAGCAAATTATTACACAATCAGCCCCTGCTACCCCTAGTCTTTGATTATGTATTAACATTCAAAAAATTGGGCCTATCTACTGAAGAGTGCATCTAGCAGCCATCACTTTCTTCCACACTAAGTAAACAGAGTCACCCTCTTAACTCCCCACTAAGCACTTCCTCAAGGGCATAGAGAACACGTATCCCACACTACAGGACCAGACTCCCATGTGCGGTCTCAGTCTTCTCTGTGCTCTCATGGGCAAACCCTTTGAACCACTAGCAACCTGCTTGTTATTGTACCTATCCATGAAGGTCTCCCTCCTAGTAGCTATCACGTCAGTAAGGAGGGTGGGAGAGCTGGCTGCTCTAATGGCACAGTAACCTTATACCACATTCCTCAAAAACTAAGTAATTATTGATCCTAAATTTATGCCCAGCTTTGCCTCCCCCCTTCCATCTCAACCAGCCCATTTACTTACCTGTGTTTTTCCCTTAACAGCATGCTGATGATAAGGAGGCCTCCTTTACATACTGGATGTCTGCAGAGTATTACCATTCTATATAGAAAAAACAAAAACATTTTGAAAACCTTCCAAGATGTTCATATCCACAACAGAATGTTCCCAGGGTCAAACCATCTCCAGAGACTTTCTAAATAATGTATAATCTTTCTATAATCTGCAAGCTCCTTCTGGACTTTGCCCACTCCACTGGAGCACTGTCCACATTGGTTGCCTCTATCAATAATATACTCATTACGGACATTTGTAAAGCAGCTATCTGGGTATCGGCCCATATTTTTACCAAATACTATGCATAACAACAATAATCAGCTGTAGCTACTCAATTTGGACTCTGTGCTTTCCCCCATACGTAAATCAATGTCAAAGCCCTCCCCCTTTCTACTGAGGGACACTCTTCTATAGCAACATAAAGTGGAGCACCCATAGGGACACTCCTCAAAGAAGAAGAGGAGACGGTTACTCACCTTGTGTAGTAACAGAAGTTCTTTGAGATGGTTGTTGCTGGAGGTGCTACTTTTCCTCCCCAACTTTGGAGTTTCTCATCAATCCTCTGGGATAGAAAAGGAAGTTGGGGATAGTTTGCTGCACAAGGTAACTGCTGATAGAGATGTAAGCCAGCTGCCATGCATGCATGGCCATTCAGGCCACTGCTGCTACAGATCACTACTTAGAAGAGCGGGGCATTAAGACACCTCAGGTGGAGCACTCACAGGGACAGTCCTCTCAAAGAACTTCAGCTTCTTCACAAGGTGAATAATCTTCTCATATCCTTACATTAAACAGGTTCAGGGACCTCCAGGAAATCAGCAGGACTTCTGGACTAAAGTGGCCCACAATCCTTAGTTAATGGTAAGAAGGATTTTGACCCCAGAAGTCCGAGTGTATGTTCTGAACTGAGGTTGTGATTAACTTATGATGGCAGACAACACCTATGTGGGATTTGAAAGACTAATCACCAACAAAAATCCTTGTTGAAGTGATAGAATAAATATAGTAGCAGAGGATTTTTTTTGTTTTTGTTTTTTGTTATGCAGTAGGTTTTCTCTGTAGTCATGTTACCTTAAGAATAAAATAGGCTTTCATAGAAAGTGCTGTGCAGTAAGTTAATTGTTGACACTTGCTCTGTTGTTCATCTCTGATGGAAAAAGTAATCAGTCCTTCTTAGGCAGAGTCTTATGCTGAGAACACAATAATGGCAGAGAACAGTTGTTTAACCAGGAAATATTCTGTCAGAAGGGAGAGAGATGCAGGTCTTCACCCAAGAAAAGCCGGGGGTTGGGAGCTGGAAGCTTGAGTGGGTGCCCTTGGAGGGTTGTTTTCTCTAAGTGATATCTCTGCATCAATCTGTCCTGTACCATCTGTACAAATGATTAGAAGCCAGGCCCAGCACTCTTGTCTATAGCTTCTGTACATCGGCAATAGAATCCTGAACTAGAAAAACAGGTGCAATTCCCATGAACTGTGACACCTGAGCCAGTGAGCTTGCCATTGAAGAGGAAGTCACAAATAAGATAAAAATACACTTGCAGGGACAGATACTAATTTAGAAGTGTTTTTTATTTTATTTTATTTTATTCTTTTTATATTCATGGCAATGTAGAGGTGCAAAGAGCAACTGATAAATATAGATTAGTTTTGTGAACTTTGGCAAAGAATTGAAGTCTTTTTACAAGTGATCTGGAAGTCTGACAGATGCTTGTAGTAGAATGTCCATCCATCCATGCATACATAACCCATACTTGCTGGGTGTGGGGCTCTGTCCTCTTCTAGTGGCATCTAGTCCACTTATTCAAATTTACTAACCTTCAACCTGGTAATTAACACATTTAACCAGGTTCTCTGAGACCTCTGCTGGAAAGAGAATTGTGTGTTGCTGGTGATCTGCAGCTCCTGGTATCTTCACTATAATTCAGTATACCTGGACACTACAATGCTTCAGGTGGACTACACTTTTAGCTGGATAATGTTAACTGAAATAAAAAACATTGGAAAAAAACAAGAATTGGCTAAGTTGAAAACATACTGTTATAGTACAGCTGTGCGTTGTCAGGTTGTGAAGCTAAGGAAAATAACCACTACCTAAGAGGTCCTTTGCTTCATTTTTCATATATTTTTCATTTTAAAAAAACATGTTTTCCTTACTGACTACATTGATGTGATGGACAAGAAACTCTCAACTGTCCATTTATTCACTTTTTGTGACTGGATACTCTTTAAAAACTATAGAAATCTGGACAGTCAGATTCTGGTAAATTTTTAACCTGTCTTCAAGAATAAGGAAGGTAGTTTATTTCATTCATCTAGATTCTATCTGTAAGGTCTGCAGAGAAAATTGGTGCCCCAACAGTTTGTATCTTTTTCACTCAAGAATGCAGACCATTTTTTTACTGTTAAAATTTGGTGTTAGCCTTTTTTTTTTTCTTGCTGTGGGTGTCTCTCTCTCAAATCAAGTAGACTGTGTGTCAACATGAATATGCATTATATGCAGTGGATACAATTTGGGGCTTCTCCTTAGAACAAGCATCCTTTTTAATATTCTTCATTGAAGGCAAAATATGCTGCCTTCTTTATTACTTGTTAAATACTTGGTACCACTGATGCATAAGCAAAACGAAAAGCTTCTATTTTCAGTTGGCATGCCTCCTTCTCAACATACATTGTGTACAACATTAGCTATAAGGGGAAAAACAGCAAAGCAAATAAGCTATTTTCTGGTTTACTGACTAGGGACACAATCTTTCCCTTTTAGCTTGTATGACAAAGCTCCTACAAAAACTTGGTGAGTCCTGCACATCTTTGCAGATTTGCTTGCCTCAGAGGTTCACAGCAGCCCACAATTTTAGGCACCATGCCCAGGGCTTTAATTTGTTGTGTGTTGAGCTCTTTTCATCATTGGCTAGCATATGGTAAAATGGAGAATAAACTCCACAGCCCTTTTCACCAAGTGGAAATGGGGAGGTGGGTGTTAGAGGGAACCTGGGCCTACCTTCTACACCAGCTTCCAGCCCACAGGCCTGTGATAACTGCTCATGTGAATCCCCAACACCTGCTGTAATACTGCTCCAAGACCCCTGAGCTACTCCCCCAGCACCTTCCTTCTCTCTGGTTCATCCTCCTAGTTGTGATGTCCTTTCTTCCTACTCCGAGTAGTGCTTTCCTTCTTCCTCCCATCTTCATGCCCCCTACAACTGCAGGCAAGCTTCTTTTGTAGGCAGTCTGAACTGGTTTTCTTAATTACCTCCAAGTGTCCTAATTGGCCTGTGCTGGCCTGAGTCTACAATCCTGGTGAATTAGCCCGTCCTTGTCACTGCTGGTTCTAAATCAGACCCTCCCTGTTATTCTAGGAGCAGGGATCTCCTCAGTCTTATATATCTCCTCTCTCCTACTTCTTTATAGCCTTCTCTTCTGACCCTGTTATTACACTTGTTACTTTTAATGACATGGGCATATTGTTTCTCCGTCCACTAGACAGACTTGTATTTTGTTCCTTAGCATTTTTGCAACCCACATTCTGTTTATTATTGTATTTGTGCAGTATTGTTAATAACCAATACAATAATATTCTACTTGTTATTCACACATTGTATTGTATAGATGAGCAAGAATTTCAAAGTCTGCCTTCAGTTAGGCACCTCTCAGTATCTTGATTGTGCTGGGACCAAAGTGTAGGCCAGAGCAAAATCCAGTGTAGAATTCTGACCTCACAGCAGGATCAGCCACCGACTAGATCAGTTTGGTGGTTATTGTTTGTTATCGTTGGTTCCTCGGTCTTAAAAAGTTTCAGAAACACTGATCTAGATCATCCCTGATGTCTGTCCAACCTACTCTTAAATATTTTCAGTGATGGAGATTTCACAGCCTCCCTAGTCAATTTATTTCAGTGTTTAAACACCCTGACAGGAAGTTTTTCTTAATGTCTAGCCTAAACCTCCCTTGCTTTAATTTAAGCCCATTTAAATCAATGAGAACACTTATTGGATCCTTAACAGCAAGAGATATCGATGGGTGGAGGCAATTTCTCTAATCGATACATTTATACCATTTATTTTTCTTAGTGCTGACAGTAGAGTAAAACTGTGGGATGTGAGGAGAGCGTCCGGATGTCTGATTACTCTTGATCAGCACAATGGGGAGAAATCAAAAGCATCTTCTGAAGCAGGTAATAAAGAATATACAGGTTGGACCTCCCTTGTCCGGCACCCTTGGGACCTGTCCTGCCCCGAATGAGGGAATTTGCCACATCAGGGGAGGTCTCCTGCCACCGGCCTCCCAGGACTCTCCCCCTCCTTGCAGCTGGCTCCGCTCCGGCCCCATTGCTACTGGGCTCCAGGCTGCAGGACTTAGCCTTAGGCTCCAGTCCTCTGGGGCTCCCCAGAGATGCTGCTCTTCAGATGCTATGGCACGGCTTTTCCCCCGCCCATCCGAGAATCCCCAGGGATGGGGCTTGCCAGCTGCCCTGTTTTCCTACTGCCCCACCCAGCCAGGGCTCCCCAGGGATGGGGCTTGCTGGTCCCTCTGCTGTCCCACCCAAATGGAGCTCCCTGGGGATGGAGCTCACCGATCTCGCTGGTTGAAGCTCCACAGGGATGGGGCTCCCAGCTGGTTCACACTCCCAGGTGCTGGGGCTCTCTGATTCAGCAACATCCATGGTCCATTGGACCAGAGGGTCCCAGATTTCGGAGGTTCAACCTGTATTCATAAGGGAAATTATGATAGTGATGATATGGTGCACTAGTGATATAAGCGGTTAGTCAACTTACTTGTACGCATACACTTATCAGATAGTCAACTAGTAACTCTACCAGTTGCTTTCGGGGGGGTGGGGGGGGGAGCAGGAGCTGGTGCTGGGGGGAGCTCTTGCTACATTTCAAAAGCAGAAGTGTTGCGGGAGCCTGGGGTGAGTGCAGAACTCAAGCAGGGGGCTGTTGTACATTTCAAAAGCAGAGTGCATGGGACCATTTTTTCAAAAGCATGGGGTCAGTGGGGGACTGCTTGAGTTCCCCACTGGCCCCATGATCCCTGGTACACTTCCGCCTTTGAAATGTAGCAAGAGCCAGCAGCTTAGCAACTAACTGAATAGTCAATGCAAAGTACATCAACTATTTGATTAGTTGATTAATCTAAATTTAACATCCTTATGCTACACCTTTACCTTGAAACATTCTTTAATTTCATACCATCACAGTTTTTAGTACAAGAAATGACTGATCTTTTACGTAACACAGGCCATAGAAAGTCATCTGGTAACTCCAGTAATTTATGGCTGAACTAAAGCATATCTTTTTGAAGGACATATAGGGTGAAATGTTTGCTCTGTTTGAAGTCAATGGAAAGGTGAAATTTTCAAAAGGGTTTGATAAGATCCCTTTGATAAGTTGCTCTAGTGATTAACTACTCTTATTGTTAAACAGTGTGTGTATATTTCCAGTTTGTCTAGTTTCAAATTCCAGCTACTGCATCTTATGCTTTAGTCTTTTTAGATTAAAGATTTCTCTGTTATCCATAATCCTGAAAAGATTAACTTGTGCCTAAATTTAAGCACTATGAGCCCCATAAATTAGACTGCTTTACAGTGTTTAAAATTAAGTATGTAGGTTCAGAGTTTTATTCAGGAAAATACTGATGGTGGATTTATACATAAAACAACATTGAGTTTGTTTTGTAGGCTGTGGTTTAACTTTGTACTGTGTCATGACCTCTGCTGCATATATGGAATATTAAAGTTTGATTTTAAGAATTAAAGATGTCATTAGCACTCAAGAAGTTATTGAAATGACCACATACTGGGAGAGCTAGGATTTATTTTTAGTGTGGCTTATCCCGTTTGGGTGCCATCAAGTGAACTTTTGTCTGTTTATGTTGTCTTAAAATGAATTAATAAGAGTACAAATATAGACAACTCCGAGAGGTCCTTTAGAAATGCCAAAGACGAGAGAAAAATCTGTTCTCTTGGATGACTGTTGTATGTTTAGAAATTTAAACATCCAGTTAATTCCTGTGCTCTCCACTTGATTATTTTTTTCTCTCTAGAAGGACAGATTTGATTTGTATATAGTTTAATGAGAATTGTTAGTTTTGTGGTATTTTTAAAATAGAAACCGAGGAAGGATTGTGAACAATGGGAGAGAAAAATTTGAAATAACAGATAAAATAGACAGCTCATTAATTTCATTTTAAAAAATTACAGAGCAGATAAAGTAGTTTTAGCAAAGTAAAATGGAAACTCCAAATTACGAACTAGGGAGGAAACCTAAGGGTGTGCCAAAGAATTCTTTACATATGTACGGAAAAATAGATGTGAACAATCTTTGTGGTGGAGCACTACGGAAAAGATCATTGGACAAATGACAAATAGGCTTTTACATCATGTTCACAAAAGGCTTATATTTTATGCTGTAAAAGAGGAATATATTTTTGGTATAGATGGAGTAAAAGCTGGATTCAGAAACACTTGTAAGCCGTTAAAATAGTGTCAGATTCTGCATTCTCTCTGCATCCAAAACAACTATTAAAATCAGTTGATGTTTTGCCAAAGAAAGGGGTTCAGGATTGGATCCTTTTTGGAAGTTGTTAGCACATTACAGTAACATCAAAAACAGAACAGTGTCATCTGAGCATCTTGATATATGTAGAAAGTAGAAAAGGCATTGAAACTTATGCATATTTACATTTTTTTTAATGAAATGAGTTCTAATGTATATAATACATTTGCCATATAGAACCTAATATATAAGGAACTTTATCACTTGGTATCAAAATTCAAAGATTTCTCCCCCCCCCCACCACACACTTTCACTCTTTCTCTCATTTTTCTGACAGCAAACACTGCTCATAATGGACGAGTTAATGGCTTATGCTTTACAAGTGATGGGCTTCATCTTCTGACTATTGGTACGGATAACCGGATGAGACTCTGGAATAGTTCCAGTGGAGAAAACACACTGGTAAGGCTTTTAAAGGACCTTCAATTGCATTTCCTGGTTGTCTTTGATAAAGTAATAGACCAGTGGTCCAATTGTGATTCAATTTAGCTTTGAAAATAAATCTCATGTTGGACACTGTTGCAAAATCTAGGATTGAAAATTAGACTCTAAAACCATTCATGACAGTAGCTCAAATCCAGATGAGCCTGGCAGTAACCAAAAGCATTAGCACCCATTGACTGTTGGCAGCTTGTGTGAAATAAATTGGTTGTTAATCTACTTTTCTCTGGGTGAGTGTCCACAGCATAGAGTAAATAAGTACAGAAACTGAATTAATCTCTTGTCTCTCAAACTCATTTAGAAAAAGTTACACCTATGACACTTAAGAAAAACCTTCCCTTTAGCAGCAGGAGGTAGTCTTTGTCTCTCTTGAATAGCCAGAAATATCCTGGACAAGTGGCTTGTCTGTACCATGGAGTATCTCATAAAATGTGCTTGCCTAGTTCTACATCAGTCAAATTATTATTCAACTCAGGATAGCCCACCTGAGCCTTACATTCTACAAAGTAAACGAAATAGTCTAGGCCCTGACCAGACCAACTTCTTGGGTTAAGACAGGCAGACCCTTACTTTCCTATCCAAGGTTCACTCTGAAAGGGTACGTCTACACTTGCTCCCTAGTTCGAACTAGGGATGCAAATGTAGACGACCGAAATTGCTAATGAAGCGGTGATTTAAATATCCCGCGCTTCATTAGCATGATCTTGCCGGCACGTAACTCCTCTCAACGGCTGTTCCGAAAGTGAAAGTGCGCGCCAGGACACGTTGGTTCGAACCAAACCCCTTGGTTTGAACTAACGTAACTACTCGGGATTCTTTGTTTCCCCATTTGGGGACCCCTGCTTTAAGATTTAAGTTCTCAAGTCCTGTCTCAGGACGTTAAGCAAATGCAGCCAGACTAACTCCAGTGGCTACAGAGGAATACCTGCAAAGGTTCTGCAACTCCTTTTACTCTAAACCTTCTGGGCTCTGATTGGCTGCTTCCATGCACATACTAAATATGGGGGGTTAGCAGCCAGCCGGATAACCATTTAACCTATAAGTGACTGTTTAGTAGTTAATTGTCCCAGTTAACCGCAACAACCTCCCACCCTCTCACCCCTGCATGCTCTGCATTTAAAACTGGGATTTGCAGGCTAGCTCAGTCCTAGCCCGCTGGTCTGAGTTTTAAATGAAGAGCACACAGGGGAGCCACCTGCCACGCAGTGCTGCTACCTTTGATACAGAGGTAGCAGCGCAGAGCAGCAGGTGGAAGCTGTATTAGAAGCAGGAGCGTGGATGTCTGTCAGCAGCCCCTGTTCATCGGGAACCTGAGCTCTGGCTTCCCACAGAGCAGCCTCTATCCACAGGGAGCTCATTGTCCCTTATCTTTTACTCAGTACTATTTATCTTATTCATTATGCTATTTTCACTAACCTTGGAACCCAAAAATAAGCTGTATGCATTTAGGAAGCTCACAGTTGTGTTAAATTCCAAAATAGCAGTATTCTTGAGATTCTAACCATTATTTTTTAAAATTTGTCTTAATAATTTAAACTTTGAGAACTAGTTTAATATAATAATAGCTGATCTTGCATCCTACAGGTGAACTACGGAAAAGTTTGTAATGAAAGCAGAAAAGGTCTCAAATTCACGATCTCTATTGGCTGTGATCCAGAATTTGCATTTGTACCATATGGTAGCACCATTGCTGTTTATACAATTCACTCAGGAGAACTGATAACTATGCTTAGGGGACATTATAGTACTGTTGACTGCTGTGTATTTCAGCCCAATTTTCAGGTAAGTGAGGTATTTAAATTAATAGAATAATGAACTCATAGATTATCTAATCTGATACATATAACATAGACCATAAAATTCATCCAGATGCTCCTATATTGAGTCCAGTATGCTGGGTATATGTAAAGGCTATCGTCTCGTAAAACTACCTCCCTACTTTACTTTATATAAACTAGCCCTCTGCCACAGCATCACACAGGAAGCTCATGTTCAATTGTTGGTCTGGTATGATCCTTAAATAACAAAAATGAGTCCACAAAAGCTCATGCTATGTTTCATGTATCATTTTATATATATGTATATATTTTTTAGTCTCTTGGGGTATGTCTACACTTGCCCCCTAGTTTGAACTAGGGAGGCAAATGAAGCATACCGAAGTCGCAAATCATCCCGTGCTTGCCGCATGTAGACGCGGCAGTCCGATTGCAAGAGGAGTAACAGTTAATTCGAGGGAAGAGTTTTAAATCAGACTACCGCGTCTACACACGGCAAATTAAATCGGGCGACCGGCTGCGAATATGCTAATCAAGCGTGGGATATTTAAATCCCTCACTTGATTTGCAACTTCGGTATGCTTCATTTGCCTCCCTAGTTCAAACTAGGGGGCAAGTGTAGACATACCCTAAGGTGTACTACAGGACTCGTTTCTTTTCAGAGTAACTGCTTTCCAGAATATAACCTCCCATTCTTGGCCTCCTTGAATATTGGCATGACTTAAGCACTCTTCCAGTTTTCTGGATTTTATCCAATATTCTAGGCTGTATTGAAAATGACCAGGCCAGGGATTTCATCCAGAAACTCTTTCAGGTGTCATAAGTACCTTAGCACACTTAACATAAATACCCTTTTGATATCCTCAGACCTGCTAAGTATGAAGTTTTTTGTGAGGCCTTTAGCTTCCCTGATCAGTAGTATAATTTTATATTGCTTGCTGATTATTTCCCCTTTACCAATATGTTTATGTATATATTATTTTAATTGCTACCTTCACTTCCTCTCTTAACAAGGATGGGCTTTAACCAGTAAAATTAATTTAATTGTGGAACTTCAGACTATATATCCTACTGCTTAGAACGTGCCCTCTTTTTGCCCATGAATGTCATGATCACTGGACCCTAGTCAACTGCCAGTTTGCTGTCCAGTTATTTATTATTCTTCATCCATCATAAAGAGATCTGATCTAAAACAATTACCTGGATATTGCTTACAGTATCTTTTTAGTTAGTATATGTACCTACCTACAAAGGGTAGTGTGCTGCTTAATTAGTATTTATATATCAATCTGAAGTACTGGGAGTAAAAATTTTAAAAAATACATTGTTATTATTGGCTCAGATTCTCCTTAAGCAGATATTCCATTGACATCTATGAGATGTTAGCTTGATGAAGTATTAAGGACTGCAGGATTTGGACCATTATTATAACTGAGGGGTTTAGATGATTTCGGAAGTTCTGCAAAGGGAAGGCTGGTCGTGAAATCCATTGCAGGGAATTTAGTGTTTTGCCTTTAGTGGCTGGTGCTCAGATAATAAACATGACTTGAATTCCTGACTCAGTCAGGAGTGGGAATAGTGTCTTGTTTGTAAAGCACCATGCACACCTACGACACAGAATAAATAAGTCTAGAATTTTATGAAACTGCTATAACTTCTTGAAAATACCAATAATTTAGCCCTGAGTAAGGTCAGCAGGGCTTGCACTTCAGCTCTGGGCAGAGGGGCTTGGGCTTTGGCTTCTACAAATCTGTGATTTCTTGTTAATTGCCTGTGTCTTGTCCATAACTTTTAATAAAAAATATCTGTGCAAAAATCATGGTCTTAAATATAATTAATAGTCACTATGATGTCAAGAATTGCAACGTCATTGGAAAATGTAGCTGCTTTCTTCCTGAGACCTTGCTTTTTTGTTGTGGCAAGTCAATAAATATACAGAAAAATTAAAATAATTATAAATTAGATAAGATGTATGTACACTCTGTGTTAGGAATTCCCATAATTACCCTATCCTTTGTGCTGCCAATTTGCATGATGCTTTGCATTCTACCTATTGTTCTGCTCTTAGTTGACTCAGACGCTCCAATAAGTTTATGTTAATATAATTGTATTTAGCACAAGCTCTAGGCCAGCGTTCCCCAAACTATGGGCTGCGGCCCGGTACTGGGCCGTGGGGGGAAAAAAAACCGGGCCTCAGCGTGGCTGCCGGGGTATTCCGGGCTCCCGGAGTGCCCATGTGGCACTGGGTCCCCCAAGCCCTTGCCCAGGCTGGGAAGAGTCTGCAGCTGGATGTTCTGGGCTCCCAGCAGAGGCGTAGCTAGGGTTACCAGGTGAGTTCAAAAGAAATGTGGGACACACTTGATCTTAGATGGCCGGGAGGGGAGCGGGGCAGGACTGACCGGGAGGAAGTGCACATTCCCGGTGAAGCACAAGTGAGTCTGGCCCCAGGGATTCCATATTTCCCTCCCCTCTCCCCACATGCCTCCTGGAGTAGTTGCGAACTGTCTGGGTGGTAGACACACTCACGCAGCCTAAGCACATCTGCCAGCCAGGCAGTTCACATCTACAAACTGATACATCTAATAATAATAAAACTTACCTAATGAGAAAATACCAGATATTTTATATGTCCAGTTTATTCTCAATTTGTTTCCTGGACTGAAACCTCAAATACCGGACAGTCTGGTACAAAACTGTACACCTGGCAACCCTACCCCTCCTTGCACCCTTCCTCCTAGCCAGATACCCTACCCCCAGTCTGCTCCAGCTCCCGCCTCCCCGAGTGCCTGTGCAGCGCCGGGTCCCCCAAGCCATGGCCCAGGCTGGGTAGAGGATGCAGCCGGGTAAAACAGTAAAAATGTATTGATTTTTCATTCTTTTTTAAATATGTGTTTATATTTTTGGGCTGCAAAAAACAGTACTGAAAAAAAAACGGGTTCCAACTAAAGTAAAAAGTTTGGTAAACCCTGCTCTAGCCAGCTTTCTGTCCATCTTACAGTCCATTTATCCAATCCATATTCCCTTAACTTGCTGGCAAGAATATTGTGGGTGACCGTATCAAAACCTTTGCTAAAGCTGGCACCGGGGGCTTTGGGAGGACCAGAAACAACTTATTTAAATATTCATCATTTGCATAATGAATATGCAAATATATGTTACCGGTCCTCCAAAAGCTTGTGAATGGATTTACTGGTCCCCATGTCAAAAAGTTTGGGAATCCCTGCTCTAGGCTAACTGAAAATCATACAAAGTTTCCACAGGAAAATAAGACAAAATAGTTGTAATGCTCACAGTAAATATCTCCACTGCACTACTCAAAGGAAAGATTTTTCTTTAAAATCTCATTCATGATCTGCAATTTGCTAGAGACTGAAGAGACTTATTTCCAAATTTGTATTAAGTATATAATCTGTGAAAACAAAATATGCAGAATATCCATGGCTGTGTGCAAGGCCAACCAAATCCTAGTGAGTTAGCATTGTTTATAATTAAGATTCTACCAAACTTGACCATTTTGATCAATTTTGTGGTCATAGGATTTTAAAATTGTAAATTTCTTAATTTCAGCTATTTAAATCTAAAATATCATGGTGCAATTGTAAAGGTCCTAACCCAAAAAGAAGTTGGGAATGGTGTTAAAAGGTTATTGTGGGTTGGGGGGGGCTTACAGTACTACTGTCTTTATTTCTGTGCTCTGATGCCTCCAGAGGTGGGCAGCTGGAGAATGGTGACTGGCGGTTGGGAACCCAGCTCTTGAGGCAGAACTGCCACCAGCAGCAGCACAGTAGTAAGGATGACATAGTATGGTTTTGTCATTCTTACGTCTACACTTTTGCTGGTGGGGTGCTGCCTTCAGAGCTGGGCACTTAGTCATCTGCCACTCTCCAGCCACCTGACTCTGCTCCTTGACCACCCACCTCTGAAAGCAGCGCAAAAGAAAATGTGGCAATATCACTACTACCTTACAATAACCTTGTGACTGGTCAACACCCCAATTTGAGAAATGCTGTCTTCCCTGTGAAATCAGTGTAGCACAGGGTAAAAGCATGCAAAAAACCAGGTATCGTGGTCTGTGATGTGTTTTTCATGTACATGAATATGGTAGAACCCAATTTGTAATCTTTGAATCAGGGATGTAAGCATCTAGCCAAGTTGATTACTTGCTTTACCCCTCCCCTCCACTGCCTCTGTATCAGAGTAAGCAAGCGGGTAAGCAGGAGCCAGTGCTGGGGGAATCAGCTTAAAAGCAAGTTCCTCCCGTCACTGTTTCCGCAGTGCATGGGGAGGGGAGCAGAGGAGGCTCGTGCTGGGTCTGGGACCTACTCCCACTGCAGCTCTGTAGTTTAAATGTAATAACCACAGTGGTCCCAGTCCTGGCTCTCACCTGCGTGCCCAGCTCCTGCTACATTTAAACTGCAGAGCCTCAGTGGGGGTAGCTCCTGGACCCGGCACAAGCCAGGACAAAGTGTCTCCCTTTATCGACTAATCATGTAGTCAATACAAATTGCATCGACTACATGATTAGCCAGTTACCCACTTTTTAACATCCTTACTTTGAATATATAAGGACTGATTTAAACTGCGGTTTCCTTCTTAAAAATTTGGAAAACACTTAAATAATACAGAGTTGGGCAAGATTAAAAGATTCCATATTGGTATCTGTTCATCATAGCATATAACCAGGGCTCGACGATCGTGGTGAAAGCCACTCGCCAGCCCCGCACCGCACATGTGCAAGACCTGCACTGTGCATACGTGGACCGCCGGTGAACAGGGCGACAGGCTGAAATCTACTCACCATGGGTGAGTAGATAAGCGTATTTGTCGAGCCCTGCATATAACTATTAATCATTCGAAAAGAAAAAGAAAAACATGCTTAGCAGGTACATCCAGAGGATCTTACAAACACTAAGCATGCAACTTTGTTTATATGAATAGTCCCATTCAGGCCAGTTGGATAAACCACATTGAGAAGTTATTCATGTGCATGAGTGTTTGCAGGATTGGGACCATAGGATGAATATCAGTTTTAATTAATTCAACCTGTTTTAGAAACAAGGAACAGTGATGATCCATTTTAGGAACCAATAAATTAACTTGTTATTTTAAAGAGTCTTATTTTAAAGGTGTCATAGCAGCTCCCTAACTAAGTGTAAAAGCCAATACTTCTTTAAGCAGAGTTTATATTGACTTATATATAAAAATTTGTACATAGCACATTTCACTTTAGCTGTTTAAACCTGCAGCATTTCTTGCCTTAAATGTGATTTATGAAACATTATTTACAAAATAATTAGCAATCCAGTAATTGTTTGAAGACGGCACCATATATAAACATCATCCTATGCAGCCATATGAACAGCAATCTGGCAATAAAATTGAAGGGGCATTAGTATGTAAATTCTTCGGGGCAGGAACTGTCTGCTGCTTTATACAGTCTAGGACAATAGAGCCCCATTCTTGTGTGGTCTTTATGCACTGACATAATTAACATAACTAGTTGTAATTATGCAAAATTCTTCCCAACTCTTCAAAAACAACACTATGTCCCCTGCTGGATTTTTGCTGTCATCTCTTGTTTTAATATAGCATTTCCTGAGCTATTTCTCATTGTCTGGCACTAATCAGCATCTTAGTCATGACCTTGACAGATATCTGTTTAGCAATGTCCACAAAAGAAAAAAAGATCTTTATTGCAGTGCCTGGCCACAAAAGCTTGCCACATGGATGCTCCACTCAAAGACTCTAAGGTCTTAGTATGGCTCCAGGCAGCTGTAGGGCTTCCAGCAATTCTGATAGACAGTATTAGAATCCAGGACAGGCCTGCTGAAAGGAAGTGGAAGCAAAGAGGATAATTTCCCTGGGACTCAACAGTAAAAAAGTGCCAGGAGTTTCCAGGCCCTTTATATTGATGCCAGAGCACCATGCAATACGCTTCTGAAGGCTGCCTGGGGCAGGCGTGGTGAGCTCCACAAAATGATGAGGGCTATCTAGCCCAAGCTTCTACTCAAGGCTCTGTCCCTTCTTGGGGTGTGGAGCATGGCCCCCTGCCTTGCCCAGGGGGCCAGCAAGGGTGTTGGCCCCGCTGATCTAGGAGAAAATGGGAAAAATCTGACCCTGTATCAGCTTTTAAATGGGGCAGGAAACATCTAGCCAATTGGGCACAAGAGCTAGTGAGGGTGCACGGTTAGACAGGTCAGTAATGGTTTCTGGGAAAGCAGAGTGGGATAGCTGTTGGAGGACTGCCAGGGCTGGATTGAGAAAGAGGCTGTAGCCTGGAAAGGTTGCAGGGGCACAAAAAGATCTCTGGGCCACCAAAAGTGCAGATCCTTTTGCAAGGCCCCTTTAGTCTGAGGCCCTGAGCTGTAGCCAATAAAAGCCCCTGTGTTCTAGCCCTGCCTGGCCAGAGGGAGGCAGAAACGTGGCTCTACAGGCTACTGTTCTCCTTCCCTCTCTCTGCCAGGCTGGATCTTGCACGTCCATCTGTGCACTTATCTCGCTTGCAGGCCCTGCCCCCCGCAGCACCCATTGTCCAGGAATCCTGGCCAGTGGAAGCTGCAGATAGCATGCCTGCAGATAAACCCCCTCCACTCCCCAGGGTTTGCACCATTAAAGGGGAGTTGCCCCAGGTAAGTGCCCCAAGCTCTAATCCCCTGTCCCATCCCTGAGCCTCCTCCTGCACCCTAACTCCCGCACATATCCAATACACCCACCCCAGACTCTTCCCTCTGCACTCTAAACCTTTTGGCTGCTGTCTGGAGCCCCCTCCTGGATCCCAAATGTCTCATCCCCAATTCTACCCATGCGCCTACATCCTCAGTTGGAGCCCACACCCTCTCCTGCAGCCAGTCCTATGCCTCAACCCATAGCCCACCTCCTGCACTCTGAACCCTGGTCCCACCCTGGAGGCTAGTGGGGCCCTCAAAAACTAATTGCCATGGCCCTTCAGAAGAGTTAATCTGGCTTTGTTTTCAGCAGCATTGCATGCACATGACCAGTACAGTGTACTAACTCCGTTCACGACTAAGTTAGTTCTCTTTGAAGTAAGGCTATTAAGAGGTGGGTAATTGGGTAATCGTGTAGTCAATACAATTTGTATCAACTAAATTATTAGTCAATAAGGGAGGGGCTCAGAAGGAGCTATCTCCGCTGCAGCTCTGCAGTGTAAATGTAAGAGCCGGACATGCAGACTGGCCAAGGACATGGGCTGTTTCCCCACAGCAGCTTCTGTCTGTGGGGGGTCCCGATTCCCCTCTTGGACCCCCCACGGAGAGGGGCTGCTGCTGGAGCAGCCTCTCCTGCTCCGCTCCCCCACACTGCTGCCTCTGATAGAGGCAGCAGCATGTGGGGGCAAGCTGCACTGTGGAGACGGTGCTGGGGGGAACCAGCTTTTAAGTACCAGCTCCTGCTCTTCCCTTCCCCTGCCCCTCCTCCTCCTCCCCCCCACCCCCCTGCCCGGCCCGGCCTTACTGCTTCTGATATAGAGGCAGTGAGGGTGGGGAAAATGTCAGTAGTTGATTCAACTACTGGATAAGGCTAGGCTTATCGAATAGTCGACTAATCAACTACTCGTTTGCATCCCTACTTTTAAGGACTCCAGAGTTCGTTGTAAATGCAGTTAGTATATTACAATGGATTGTATCAGGCATATACAAGCATTTGTAACAGAATTAACTTGACTTAATTTGGTTTAAATCCTCCATGTAGACAAGGCCTAAATTATTAATTGATTGTGTCAAAGTAAGAAATTCTGCTCTGAAGAAACTTGGAATACAATTGGCAGAAAGGAGATAAAAAACGAGTTAAATTTAACAATGAAGTAAATTTAAATGGTAGCAAATCTATTTTGGTAAATTCATCCTAAAGAAATTAACAGTAATTGTGTCCTATTGTCTTTTATGTTCTGAAATCTGCAGTATTCTAGATTACTTTACAGATTGGAATGTAAGAATATGGTTCTTTATTACTAAACATTAAGTGTCACTTAAATTTACTATTTCTCATAAGCATTTCTTGGTCAGTATTTATTTTTGCTTTCTTTCTCACAGGAACTATACAGTGGTAGCAAAGATTGCAATATCCTTGCATGGGTTCCAGCTCTACGAGAGCCAATTCCTGATGAAGATACTGAAAAGGTATATAATATTTTATGCATGTTAATTTTTGTACAGCAAAGGAGAAAAAATTAAATATGAGGAAAATATTTCCCATTTGACCTTTGCGGTGAAGATTGATGCAGTATACTTATCTTCTAGTGCAGAGTAGCCTAATGGATTCTACCAGTTCTCTGGTAGACTTCCTGCTTCTCCTGTATTTAAAGTTTTTCCTGTTTTTATGTTGTTTGGCTGTTTGACTTTTGACTTTCTTCTTAGTCTTAGGTAAAATTTATTATGGAAATTACAAATTTACATAACTTAAGGTCCTTCTGAAATATAGTAACAAAATTTAAAATCAAAGCAGTTGCAGAGTATTAAGCAAACAGTGACATAAAGGGTAATAGTTCTTCACATCAGTTACTGTTGATCTGGAAATATCAGGAAAATTCTAAGCGAGTTTACTCAAGAATTTGAGATAACAAGAGGTGGGGCATGTATTTATATTTACTAGCCAAATTCCCATGAAACTTTTGATACATCTACAGATTTTTAATGAATCATTGAAGCCTATTAAAAGAGCCTGAAAATATTTGTTTTAAATAATTTCATTATTGTAAAGTGAATTCAGGCCTCTATCTTTACAGGATCTGTTTATGAAATGAGGTCCAGTTTCATCATGTTGTTTGTTCTTGTGATTTATAGTTAGTACTGTATATTTGTGGAGTGAGGTTTTTTTTAAAAAAAGTCTTTGTTTTTGTTTTCTAACTACACTGTGACAAGAAGTAGTTTGAGTTTCTCAGTAGATTTGTGTTTCTCTTTAACTTTAGCTTCCAAAATGAAAACCTAAGCAACAGTACCTTTCAAAGGAATATAAATTGCTTCCCTTACTTATTGGTCTTTAAAGTTTGCAATCATCATCAAAAACACGTGTGACATTTAACAACCACTGAGTTTATAAATCTGCTTAATGAGATTAAGACCACCAGCACAAAGCTAAAATTACCTATGTATGTACTTGATATATTGTAAGTAATTTCAGGTTTTTGTAATATTTTCAGCAGCCCACCATTGATCACAATTCTGATACATATTGGCTATTCCTCCCCTGCCTACCATTTCTAGAGGAAGTTTAAAGGTGTAGCACTGCCTTTGCAAGCCATACCCCTTCTTCTGCTTGCTGATGGATCTTCTCCTTCTGTGACAGCTGTCAGGTGGTGGTTTGTTTTGTTCCTCTCCTCTTCCTTAGATTTGTTATACTTAGCTGTTTTTTGGACAGTTAAAGTGTGTTTATTTTCAAGTCTCCATGCTTCTTCTTGGTTTGGGATGTGAGCTGCATGATGGTCACAGCCCCTCATAGTCTCCCCAGCAGTGCCTTGACTTGCTAATTTAGGTTGGATGTATTCCTAGAGGATTCATCTCAAGACCTCTTTAATTAAGATTAGTCTTTAATTCCTAGAGATTGCAAGATAATCCTGGAGAGTTGGCAGCCCCAGCAGTGCCTTTCAGGCATGGCAAAGCAGCTGCACAGACACCAGGTGAAATCCAAAAGGTGCTCTGTGTATGTGTCAGGCTCCTCAGCCTTGGAAGAAGGTAAAATATGTCCAGCCAGCCAATTCTCTCTCTGCTAAGGCATGGGGCTCTGAGTCAGACAAGCATGTTGAGACTCCTCCTCCCCAGGTAGCTGCAACTCTACTGCAGAAAAACCCAATCAGGGGAAGCAGAGCAAAACAGGGAGAGGCTTAGAGGATGAGGAGGACTTAATGAGGAGGTAAATTCTGGAGCAACAAAGGATCATAAAGATATCACACTTTCCAGGATGCCAGTCCCCCCACTAGCCCTAAAGTGGGTCATAGAATCTCTGGGGATAAATGCAGGATTTCCCTTCCACACACCATGAATCCAAATCCTCATGATATCTGATTTTGAAGGACTTACCACAGACTCTGAATCCCAAAAAGAAAAAAGCAAGAGTGTCCTGCTCAAAAGAGCAAGTACTTTTGTTAATGTGGAGTAATAATCAGGAGTTAACACCTTCTCCTTTGCCTGCGTTGGCCCCCTTTCTAATTGCTGATAACTAAAAAATGGAAGCACTGCCCCTTTTTGTCCCAAGGTCACACCCTTTCTTCACCTCTTCCCCCAAGACCCCACTCCCATTGCTTGCTCCTCTCTCCATGTCAGTCTCTGGATCATCTCCACCTCTTCTGCTCTCTTTTCCCCACTCAGGCTGAACTCCCTCTGCTCTGTGGCTGAGACAGAAGCTGCAGTTTGACAAGGAGACTGACTGCCGGTAGGAGGTGGTCCCAAGGAAGGACTGGTACAGGTTAATGACCTGTCACTTCCCCCTACCCCAAAGTAACCGGATTGTTGGTGTTCAGTCAGTATATCTAATTGGTACTACTAGGGCCCATTTTTGACTAGTAGACTTTTCAGTTGAATACCAGGCACCTGGCAACCCTAAATAGCACCCAGACACAGAAGCCAAAAAACAAACTGGACAGGTGGCAACCTTACCTTTGCCTTCTCCTGAAGGAGTGTTTGCTGCAGCTTTTCTCCTGGGCAGTGTGTCTCTTACTTTATACTGTAGTATGCTCATCACCCCTCTCCCACTGTGCAACATGTATAGGCAGGCAGAGAAACCTCTCCCCTCTCTGTACCTCAGACTGCAGTCTCATGGGAATTGTGTGGCTGTCCAGCTTCCAGCCCAAAGACCCTCGTTTAGCCAGGAAAGGGCCTCAGATTTGAGATACCAGCAGAATGGGAATGTTTCCTCTGAACATTAGCCATAAACTCAGTTGTGCCACAAAAAGGGGCTCAGACTCTGAAAGGAAGGAAGAGATTTTTCACTATGCCCCTCCACAGAGTGGCTCCACATTAATCTTTGAGCATGTAAGGGCTGTGTCTACATTGGCGTGATCTTGCGCAAAAGCGGCTGTTTTTGTGCCAAAACTTGCTGCCTGTATACACTGGCCGCCAGTTCTTGCTCAAGAACGCTGACGTTCTAATGTATGAAATCAATGCTTCTTGTGCAAGAACTATGATGCTCCCGCTCAGGAATAAGCCTTCTTTAGCAACTGTTCTTGCGCAAGAGGCAAGTGTAGACAGGCAACATGAATTTCTTGTGCAAGAAAGCCCTATGGTTAAAATGGCCATCAGAGCTTTCTTGCGCAAGAAGGCGTCTACACTGGCATGGATGCTCTTCTGCAAAAGCACATGCCAGTGTAGACACTCTTCTGGAAGAGTTTTTGCACGAGAACTCTTCCGCAAAAGATTTCTTGCACAAAATCATGCCAGTGTAAATGTAGCCAGGTAGTCTGTGACCAAAACAGAGACACCTGAGGATTCCATTCCCTATGAAGCGACACCTTTGTGGGACTACATAGAGGTATGTGAAAAATCCCTTCCCTTATTCAATTTGAAACACTGCCTCTGCGTTTCATAGGGGCAGCGCGAGCAGAGCCCAGGATCAGCTGTGCAGTGCTGCCACTTTGAAACGCAGCCTTGATGTTTCAAAAGGGCAGCACTGGATGGAGCATGCGGACTCTAGCTGATCCCGGGCTCCCACAATGCTGCCCCTCGGGAGGCATTTCAAAGGTGAAGCACTGCATGAAGCCAAGGTCAGCTGGGGATTCCAGCTGATCTCGGGCTCCTGCAGCGCTGCCCCTTTGAAATGCTGTGGCAGCGTTTCATAGAGGTAGTGCACACAATTAATTGCGCAGTTAATCATGATTAATTTTTTAATCGCTTGACAGCCCTAATATACATAAATTTTGCACAAAACAAAAAACCACGTGCACAAACCAAAACAATCCCTGCAGAACTTTTCCAAAACTAGATGCCTGTCTGAGGGGCCAGGAAGAAAACTTTTATGAATAGATCTTTCTTTTTGAACAATATGATTACGGACATTAAAATGCATTTTTTGTTTGTTTTTTGTAAACATGTAACCGTTGAAATTGTTTATATGCGGGAAGGAGGCAGATCCCTGCACATACCAGCTCCCACCTGCCACGCTATGCTGCTGCCTCTGTATCAGAGGCAACAGAACGGGGGGACGCAGGCAGCTCCCCAGGCACCAGTGCTCGTGGTGAGCCTGCTTAAATGCCAGCTCCCCACGAGCACCAGCTCCTGCCTGCTCTCCTGCGCTGGTGTCTTTGATACAGAAGCAGTACCATGCAGAACTTGCATGTAACCATGAAGGTTGAGCTCATTGGTTAACTGTTTAAATGTGTACACTATCACATCTCTAATGATGACACATGTTTTCCTATTGATGCAAGTGCCAAATGAGGGCACCTGATTAAACCAAGTCTGAAACTAAAATGTGCTTTTATATTTATATTGAGGCTTTTAATTAATTAAAGCTAGCGCACGTGATTAACATAAAAATGAACTAGATTAAAAATAGTCACAATTAATCAGTTTCAATTGGACTGTTAAACAATTATAGAATACCAATTTTGATCTTTTTCTTCTTTTTCAAATACATTGATTCCGGTTACAACACAGAATACAAAGCATACTGTGCTTACCTTATATTATTTTTATTGTAGATATTTGCAGTGTAAAAAAGATAAAAGAAAAATAGAATTTTTCAAGTTACCTCATATAAGTTCACTCAGACCTATTTTTTGTTCAGTCAGTTGCTAAGACAACCAAGTTTGTGTGTATTTACTGGAGATAGTGCTGCCTGCAAAATCAGCTACTCAGTGTGATGCTTTAACCATGAAGTCTTCATTCTGATATCTCAGATGTTCATCCTTTCCTCACTTGATCTATTTGTCAATTGCAAGAATACAAAATTGCCAAAATTCTTCACTGTGAAAACAGACCCTAGTTTCATGGATACAGATGCTTTGTTACACAGATAGCAGCAAGGTCTCCTATATGTATTCCCACCCTTCCATTTTTAAACAAAGAGATCCAAACAATGAGGCAAGAAGCAACAAGGGTGACAATGCGAACTGTATCCCAACCAGAGAGACCTTAGAACTCAGATCTAGTACAATTAAAGCTAAGACCACTCTTTCAACTATTGACAAGACCATGCATCTTTTTTCCAAGACTGCTTTGTTCACCCAGATAGTCTTCAGCAAACAGCCTATTGAAAGAGAAAAATATTAGCTGCACTCAGCCAGTTTTCTAAAGTGATCAGACTACACATTGCTGAGGCATATAAGTCATTTGGTGTGCCTGTTTTGGAAAATCTCAATAAGTGCATTTTACAAGATCCATGGCAACCTCATGGGACAAAAGAGAATGCACATACCTCTAACAGACATGATAGGGTGGAGTACTTGCATACACAGAGGCCTCTTTGGTAGGAATGTGCTGGAGGTGATGGTCCAGACATAAGCTGGCCATTTGAATGATTGAAAATATTCTTATGTTCATTTCTCTATCCCACCGTATTCCATTTCTGCATGCTACTTCCCATACCTATCTGAATTGTGGGAGATGCTGGTCTGCAGAGTGAAAAATGTCTTACCCAGCAATTTTCTGCCTGTTAGCAGGATCATCCACAATTCTGTCTCCCTGGATAGCTTCACAACCAAGGGCCAGCATTTTATTTGGCTAGTCACCATCTTGGCCTGCCTACTTTTAATTAATTAGTTAGCAATGAAGTTAATGTTGTTAATAATGTTTTAAAAGGTTTTTCACAGCAGTGGAATGAATCATCTGGCAGCAACAAGAGGAGAGGAATGTGGCTAGCACAGGCTCTGCTGCAGCTTTGAATTGCCTCTACAACTTGCATACAGGAAAAATATAGCCAATATTTAAAAGAATTGTGGGAGATACTACTAGTAGAAAGGAAATTGAGTAAGAACTCTTCCATTCTAACTATGTATCATGAACTGTGTATCTAAGCCAAACATATGCAGGATACTACTTTCATTCATAATTTATTCTTCTAATATTAATTTATAGGATGGATGAAGTATCAGTTTAAAAAATGCAGTAAAAATAAGATAAATTTATATTTTATATTCAAATAGTAACTAAGAAATTAGTTGTGGTGATCTTAATTTAGTTATTAATAATTACATCTTTATTAAATCTTAATGATTTAATTCCTTTAAAAAAAGCAAACTTAAGAGAATTTGTTTTCATATCCCACCTTAGCAACACTTAAATCCAGCATTTGAAGATGGATGGAGCAGCAGTGATGATGAAGGATGAATCTCAGTTCACTGTTGACATAACATTCATGCACTGTGTTTGTGGAGAAGGACTTCATCTCCAGAATTGAACAAGTATTTGTCATCAAGTCTTTGTAGTAAAGCCCAGGCTTACAGAAATGAGATTTTACTGTAAAGTTTCTTTTCATGTACTATCTTAATGTTTCTTCTGTGTTGTTACTATATTTTAAAATAGTATTCTTTTATTTATCTGGACTTCTCATCCTCTTCCCATACACCTACTCCCAATCTTTAGGCACTGCAATTGTATAGGTATATTGTACCTACATATTAAGAAAAGCAAAACTTCTGATGATCAGCTGCTAGTACACATCATCTCTCTTCTTGTGTCGTTAAAATGGTGATTCCTTCCATTTCCAGGGGACCGAAGTGGAATAGATTTGATGGATGAATGTGGAGAGGAGCTGGGTGTATAAGTCCCAGTTCCTTAGTGTGACCCCATTTTACAGAAGCCTCTGCACAAGTGAGTTGTGAAATCCAGATTGCTCAGTTAGATAAAACCAGACCTGCTTCCTTCGATCTAGATATTTATATAGGCCCCATCAATTAATATCTAATCCCATTTATTTAAAAATAGAAGCAAATTACATGGAATAGGATCATACTGATCCTGTTAACAGAATCATAAGATTAGTGGGCATTCTCTGCTGCATGAAACCCTCCCTAAGTGGAGGGGAGAATTCATGGATAGTCATAGGCAAACACTGACAGCTGAAGAGTCAGAATGGGAATGAGAAAGGGAAAGCTGGTGCTGAGTCAGCGGGCCTGTGCCAATGTGGTATGATGTGATTAAGATTGAACCTCCCACCTGTTCTGGGAATGCAGGACCTTCTCTTCCTTTCTCAGCCCGATGATTTAGAGAAGTTTCGGCAAGCTGTGTTTCCTGTCTCTGTTGTGTATGTTTTCCCTCTTTGGGTATAGTGTAGCTTTATAGATTTAACAAGCCTCAAGTCAGAAGAAAAAATTGAATAAAATTAAAGTGTAAAAAGTCATTCAAAATGTCTTCATTTCAACTGAATATGTGGCTAGTGTCTTTGCTCTATACTGTTCTGTGGGTCAGTTCCTAGGCCAGCACTGGGCTGAATATGGTACACTCACTATTCCCTGAGGACTGAGTTAAGGAGCTGCACTGAAAGGCTTCCTATAAAATGGAAGAAGGATGGTTGGGTTGCAATTTTTCCATGGAAAAAGGAAGAGAAGGGAAAAATTTATATCAAATGGCGGAGCAGGCTTCAAATAAGGAGAAAAGTGTTACGGAACTGAATGGAAAACATACGCCTTGTGTACTGTATGTAACTAACAGAATTAGTGCACACTTCAGAATTACATTTCTCAATATCTCATATGTTTTTTTTTTTTTAAATGCATATCATTCCATATAATAGTTCAGTGAAAGGGGCCTGGAGAGACTCAAGGAAATCCTTGTAATTAAGTGTTAATATAGAGAATATTTAAGTTTATAATACCAAGAAATGCTGAACCCAAAATTTGACCTCCCTCTAAGTTGTTATGAAACTATGTAAGTTAGCGACATAGAGATTTTTAAAAAGTCACTTAATTTTAGTTCAAGGGACCAGTATGGACCCTCTAAGTGTAGGAAAATATAACAAATTGAAATTGGCTCTCAAAGGAAACTTTCATTTAATTACCAATTGTTCTTTTCCTCCTGAAGTCTGGTGTATCTTTGTAACTTAATGAAAATAAGCTTTATTTACAAACAAAAAGCAAAGTGGATAATCTATTTGTTATTCCTGGGCAACATTTTTATTACATGTTCTGTAAAGATACAAATGCTACATATACAGCATATAGAATTTCTATTTCACGTTTCCAAATTTAATAAAAAGGTGTTTTTGTTTTGAGAGTCATGTTAATTAAATCCTGTGTTTTGTAAACCACTCTCTTTGGTGATAAAATGATTTATGCATTACTTCAGAGCCAAACACCAATTGGAAAAATTAAATTACATACAAATCCATTCTTCCTGAGCTGTGCAGTTACCATGGAAAATACTGGTACATAAAGAAGCAGATCCAGGGCAATTTTTGTGTGCCATACAAAATGGAAGGTAATAAAATCCAAATTCATCAAATGGAAGAAGGTAAGTATGGTAAAGAAAGTTTTCATTTTCCAGTCAGGGTTCCAAACTCTCTTCTTTTTCTGACACTGCCTTTCTCTTCCCAGTGAATCTCTGCCTGACTCCAATGTTCATAATTGCAGCATACCAATTCTTTCCCAGCCTGAGAACCTCTTGGCTGTTGATGTACTCTCCTGGCTTTAGTTCCAAGCTGAAGTGAGAGGAGTTTGAAGGAAGGTGGAGTCAGTTTGTATTCACACCCCCCAGCAGCCAAAAATCTTGGATCATACAGGCAGTGCATTATAGTATATGGCTAGTCTCCAAATTATTAAACACTTAGGCACTATTCATCACATTAAGGATATACAATTTCTGGCCAAATTCCATTCCAGGTAATTAATTGTTGAGAGTTCCTCTAAAGGTTCAGTTTTGACATTTACGTCCCTAAACCATTACAGGAGATTTTATTGTTTTGTTTTTTTTAAATAATTGCTTTATTCTTCAAAAGTTACTGTAGTTCGTTGATACATTAAGTGGTTAGGATCCTTCTGGATGAAAGTTGCCATGTAAATGTAACAGGACCATCATAGTAATTTATTTTTGTTGGTTATATAACTGAAGAAAGCAAATATTAAACAAAGATAGGACTGAATGCAATAGCATGTTTTGAGACCATGCCTGGTATAGGCCATACTGAATTGTAGAAACTGTAGAATAGTTCCGTCTTGTTCTGTATGCCATTCAGGCCTTAAATGAGTTCTGTTTTGATTCTTTTTTACCATATCTATCTGCATGGTTTCAGTGTCTTTATGAAATACTACCTGATTGTCTGACAGAAATTTGGAAGCTCAGATCCACTTAGAGGAGGGAAGTTCTACTGCAGATAGTCACTGAGGGCACTTCTACTGCAACAGTGGGTCCTGGGACAGCATTGTACACATGGTTGCTTAGAGCATGAAGGAAAGGGGTTAATAATTATCTGCAGAGAACGTTAGGCCAGGGATCTGTACTAGCTAGAAAAGTTGCTTTGCCTTCCAGTAAAATTGGCAGGCTTTCATCTGGAGTTGGCAATGTAGATATTGAAACCTAGAAAGGAAATTTTGTATGATGAGTTGCCTACCCCTTGGGACTGTTACATGGTGTGCCAAGATAGGACTAAGCCTGCTTTCCTTGACTGCCTAGGCACCCTGTAACTTTCTTGCTGAACCTAGCTGTCCAGTCTGCTTTAGCACAGACACAGGGAAGGGCCACACCACTCTGCTTGTAATACACACAGCAGACCATACAGTGAGGGACAAATCTTTAGTACTCAAATACACAGCCCCTTTGGGAGCTGAATCCCAGATAAATCTGTCTTATTCTGTATAAAAGTTCTACACAGAGAAAGCTGCTTCATCCCCCACTCCCTACCTGCCGGTAACAGTTCTTTACACTGGGCTTGATTTAAAAATTTGAAGTATAAAAATAGAATTTAAGTGATTTCAAGTGAAAATAAAGATCAAAGCAAGTGACAAATCTAAAACAAAACATGCCACCTAAGTGAGATTGTTACAGATCATATTTCTCACTCTAGTTCTTATTTCAGGTAAAATCCTTCAAGTCAGAGCTCATCTTTTCTCTGGCCTAGGTCTAAACAGCTTCTTGTGTATCCTCTTAGGATGAGGAGGCAGTTTCAAAAGCCAGCTGAAGATTATTGTTGATTGCTTCCTATCACGTAAATAGAGTTTCCCCAGGGCAGGAATCCTTTGTTTAATTCTCCCCATTCCCAAAGGAAAAATACTAACATTAAGATGGATTCCCATACCAGATGGCATGGCCACATGTCTTTGTAGGACCATCCACAGTTTAGACTTACAGGAAAAACAAAACTATTTCTAGATTGTTGCCTTGAGCACCAGGCCACTAAGTTCTTACTAATTGCTTTCAGTAGAAATTCTAGATTACTAAGCATATTCATATTTCTAACTTCACATGCAAGAATGATACATGCACAAAGAATACACATTCAGGAGATCAAGGCTCTTGAATGTTAAGTCACTTGACCTGTTTTGCATAAAGCTTATTTGAGTTATGTATATTCAAAAACATTTCCATAAAAATATAGGGTGTAGCATTACAAATGTATTGTTTCAGTGTAGCAGATTCCTTCCTATACTTCTGCCATTCAGTATTTCTCACTGACTATTAAAATACAACATAAGTAAATCTTAAAATACAAATAATCTAACACTGATTTTATATTAAAATGTACTTTATTATTCTAAGAGTAAATATTTAATGGTAAGCTATGAAAAGGGCTTACGTGGTGTTAAGGAGGGGTGTGTCTGTTTTTGTTCGGTTTGTTCCTGCTATGTGTTTATATATAAGGACTGAAGTTTTTTGTTTGTATAGTAAAATAGGAGACAGTTGGGATTCTGCTTTTTTATTGTAAGAAAGTCTAGCTTTATGTGGTGGCTCAAACAAGAGGGCAAATATGATATCACAACAGAAAAGAAACAAAACTGAACAATTTTTAGAGCACCACTTTTTCTTAACTGCCACTTACCTCCAGTGACAAATGAACATTATGAAAGAAATTATTTAAAAATTAACATTGTCATCATGTAAGATGATGTGAAGATACACCAGCCATGTTGGTAGCCAAATAAAACTCAAGTTCGATATCACTTCCCTTTTTTGGGCTGATTTTATTAATAAACGAAAGGTGCCGAATATTGTGTACTGAGGCTTTTAAGAGCCCTATCCTTTCTGCAAGCTGGAAAAGAAGACAACCTTCCTAGCTATTGCCTAGAGACCTCCTGCGAGGTTCCCATGACAGACCTCCTTTAGGATCTTTCCTCAACTCTGTTTTTGTCAAGATTATGTGAAGAAATAACCATGGCTCAGTCTCCGGCACTTGGTGCATGGTTACCTGGCCGTGCTATTACGTGACTTGAAAGAATATAACTCCCAGCAACTCCTGACACGCTTCTTCAGTTAAGATTTGAATGCTCACATATTGCATGCTCAAACTCCCAAGAAAACCTGCAGCAAGACCAGAAAAGATGAGTCTTTATAAATTTCAAATGAAAAGTTTAAAAAAAAAAAGACCAATTTTAAAAATAAAACTTTTCTGAGCTTACATAAAAAAAGAAGCCAAAACTGATGCTCAGATTTATTTTATTTTATTAAAATTCCTTATGCATCTCTTTGAAAAGAAATTTAAAGGGGAGGAAAAAATACTTTTCTGTTCTGGGGAAGATCCTCCGATGCTGAGGAGTTGGCAGATTATACTGCCTGCCAATTTCACCGGATCTGTGAGGGAGGAGTACATCATATCTTTCTCCCCCTTCAACTGTAAGGCAGTTTTGTAGTAATTTTTCCCACAGCAAGAAATATACTTGCTCCGGCAAAGTTTAGAATCAGCAATTTAAAAAAAAAAACAGTTTTCCCTGTTGCAAGCATTATTGAAAATGCAAACAACATTAATTTGTGCAATCAAGAACCAGGTAAGTCAGCTGGCAAGAGCACAAAATATTACACATTTGTATTTTTTGACAGTCTCTACACTGCAATGGTATATTGGAAAAAGAAACACAATTTGCCATACGCAAATTGCGTATCTTTTTCCACTTTACTGTTGAAAGAGGCTTTTCCAGAATTTGGTGCATCTACACGGAGCCAAATTTCGGAAAAAAGTGCTCTTTTGACACATCCTTTATATTTCGTAAAATGAGGTTTCTGAAAAAGCGGACGTGTTCCTTGGATGCGGCATTGCTTTTCCGGGATACCTCCAGTATCCTGGAAAAGCAGTGCAGTCTAGACGTAGCCTTACATTACACCTTTCTTCTTTTCCTCTAGGTTTTCTGTTCAGGCAGCTGGCCATGCAAGCTACTGCGTGCTTTCAGTTCCCATTGACTTCAAAAGGTACTTAACACTGCTCAGGCCTGAATATATGTGTAGTAAGACAGGGCTTGTGTTTCAATGGTCATTAGGTAGATGTTTAAGCAAACATGAACGCACCCTTTTAGCAAAGTTAGTGATGATTCTAGACAAAATAAGGCAAAGAGGAAGTGGGTTTTGGGTTTTTTTTCCATCTAATGGAGACTGTTGGCAATAGTATTACCACAGTGACAGCCACAAAACTTCAGTTGTACCCACAGTTTTAAAGATGATTATTAATCCACTGTTAGTATTTCATCAGGGCCTCTGCAGACACACCACAAACATGATCTAGCTTGACAGACACCAAACTAATCCTTGGTCTGTAAGAATTGTTAATGGTGGCATTTTAAGGAAAAAAAAAGTTAAATATATATGACCTTCTAGCTAAGATGCAACTGTCACTAATTCTCTAATGCAGTGTTTCTCAAGCTGTGCTCCATGGAGTAGGGTTGCTAGGTGTCCGGTATTCTACCGGACAGTCCGGTTTTTGGGCCCTGTGTCTGGTTAAAACAAAATCTAGAAAATACTGGACATGTGCAATGTCCAGTATTTCCTGGTTTTCCAGCTGGGTACCGGACAGAAGCCTGGTGCAGGCTGGGGAGTGGCTGGGAGGCGGGGTGTGATTGGCGCTGTGAGCCCCTGGCTGTGTCTGACGCCTGGGGGAGAAGGAGAGGCCCTGTCCCTGCTCCTGAGCGTGTGGTGGAGCTGCAGCCAGACTCACTCGTGCTTCTCCGGACCATGTGTGGGACTAACAGCGCCTCGGATCTGCACATACCCGGGTCAGTCCCACCACTTCCCCCAACCCTTCCCGACCAGGTCCGCTGCTCCCAACCCCCTCCCAGCTACCCCTGCTTTCTGCCAGCTGGTTCCTCTCCCGATCTCCCCTGGCCAGCT